CACAGTATTATCGCTGAGATGGAAACAATGTTAAAATTATGGCGTAATAATCAAGTAAATGTGAAAAATTGTAAAATAATATAGGCCTAATTTGTTATACATATGTATTATCTAAGATTTTATTAAACATTTTTTTCTAAATTATTGTTTTCTTTAGTCTCTGGCCCCAATTAAAAATTATTTGTATGTATTTATATGCGAAATTATACCCTGACTTATGCAAATTCGACTTACGCGGTTACCACTCGGTCCCACCTATTGCGTAAGTTCGGGGTATTACCGTACTAAAATATAATAAATAATTTGTGTAAGTATCATTTAGCACATAATACAGAAGTACATTTAGAATAAGTGCACATAGAATACATGTTGTGCTATACCATATATATAAAGTAAATATAATTTTAAAATATGTGTAATAGTAATTTTTATTACCCTGGAATGTGTCCTTGTGTTAATAATAAATTTGTATTAAAAAAATTGAAATGCTTTATTATCTGAACTTGATTATCAAACTGGAAAGATGTGAATTAAAGTGTACAAAATAAAAATACAATATGTTTATCTTTGATTCCAATGAACCATAAAGTTATTTGGATAAGTACTTCTTTAAGATATGCAAGTACATACAAATAAAAACTTTAAAATAGGATTTAAGGAAAAATGTCTATCAAGTAGAATTTCCTAAAAGATATGATGAAATTACTTACATAATTTATTGAATCAGATCTAAAAACTTAGAAGAAGAAAAATACTACTAAGATAAAAATGATAGGGCAACAAAAATCAGATCATTATAAATAAACAAACAAAATAGATTAAAATTCCATTGGATAAAGAAAGTAAAATTTAATAGAGAGGAATAAAGTAATGTTAAATCTTATAACAATAAATCTTTTATTTAGCTTTTACTACATGATAAATAATAAGAATATTAATATTATGAACATAAAAAAATAAATAAAGTATAATCAAAAGTTTTAGTAACATGCTAAAATTTGATAATGAAAATTTGAATAAGCCAATTGAATAACATTGGGATGACGTAATAAATGACTAATGTCGTTATTGACAATAATGTGTAATTATTGAGTTAATGTTGAAAAATATTGCATTAAAAATTGAAAGACTTGTTAGAATTTTTTTTTAAGTAATGATGAAATGATGTAAGGAATTTGTTTAGAGAAAGATTTTGTTTAAAAAATTTTTTTATAGAATTTTGTATAATATTATTCTATCAATATCATTGCATTTTATAATCCTGTAAGTAAAAAATATATATTATTACATTATCATTTAAGAAAATGAATCCTCTAACAACAGTTTTTCATTAATAAAAAATTTTCAATTTTTTTATTGATGACACATTATTGTCTTGTGTAATAAAATTTTTCAGTAATTAAAAAAATGTCATGCATTTAATATTAAAAATATATATATATATATCTGTTGCAATCTTTGAATCTGGTTATTTGTTTCTGTTACATATGTAATATTACCAATTTGTTTCTAAATTTTAATAATGATTTTTAGATATTATCAAAAATTCTTTATTTCTATATTAAATCATAATCAGAATTCAAAATTGTTCAATTCATAGTTAACTTTACAATTTATGTATAGATTATAGATTATAGATTGTTTAATACATGTTTATTGATCAACTTAATTTCCACTAAGTTATAAATTACAAATACTGTATAGACCAATCAAACATGATATAAGAATATTTTATATTGTATGATTGAACTGTATTGTTTCATTAAGATTATTTTATTGAATTTATTGACTTAAAAAAATTCTAGAGTTTTTTAAATGAAAATTATAATATGCAGTTTAATGCTAAGTATCAAAAACAAATTAAAATTAATTTTGATCTTAGTGATAAGAGATTTGTCTTACATTTAATCTAGCAATTAGGGATATGAACTAAATCATATTATTACTCAAAGTTACAACAATATACAAGCAACTGATTTAATTTTAAAATTTTGCAAATTTGTTCATTTATTTTAAATGAATATAAATAGTAATAATGTTTTAATGTTACATCTAGAAATTTGCAAACATATATGCACAAATTTTGCAATATATATTTTAAACATTTACAGTAAATATGAAAATGTGATCAACCTCATTGTTCTCTCTCTCTTTTCTTTATTAAACCTAAAAAATGTATTTGATCCTCAAAATTTACCATTGTCTTTAAATTTTAAATTTTGAAATTGTCAGTTTTTTATCCTGTTGGAGTATTGGTATTTTTTTGCATTATGGATTTCCAATTTTTAGATTAGCCTATTTATTTACAGATATAAAAGCCAAAATATTCTTTATTGGCAGTATTTTTAATATATTCTTTTTTAATTTCTTAATTATATAATCTGTTTTTTAATATATAAAATAAATTAAAAATATTAAAATTAATATCTGTTATTTGTATCACATCTTTTGCTGATAGTAACATAACTGTATCATAATGATGCAGATATAACTTGACCTTTTGGCATATTTTATTAAGCTAGCTTTTTCGACAGAGTTATCATTTGACCTATTTATAAATCTTACCTAAATTTAACTAAAGTCTGATTTTATAGATTTTTGTATTAAAAAATATTTGTTCATACTAATTATAATTAGTTCACTTTGGTTGTTCTATTAAATTATTTATTTATATTTTTAAAACATTAGCTCAATATTTATACTTTTTTTTAGAAGTTTAACAATTTAAGACTAAATTTAATTTTTATGCATAAATCAGTTTTTTGTTTACATGTGAATATAAACTAATCTATAAAACAGACAACAAAAACTAATAGCATTTTTTTAATTTTTTAAATTATATGAGGAAAATATTACCCATTTTTTAATATTTGATAGCATTGCTGAACAACTACACAGCATTGAACATTGTTTTTATCTTTGTAACAATATATAGATGAAACTGTTGTAGGAAAAAATCTAAATACAATCTAAAAAATTGCTTGATTGTCTATTTTTAAACTAACATTATAATAATAATAATTTGTTGTTGGAGACTTTATAAATCAATAATTTAAATTATTTAATGAATTA